ATAATTGTTTTTTTAATGAGGCAGGAGTAACCACAAGATGCAACACGTGGAGATGTCACCACTGCTGCTGAATTTCAGAGAGAGAACAGCTGGCAAGAGCAACCGGTTTCTAAATAGTGCCAGTGGGGCAGGACACAGGCACCTGCATCACAAACCCAGTCCCATCCCATGAGAGTTTTAATGTCCTCATAGCAACTTTCTTCTTGATGTAGACAGCATTTTAGATCTTAGTTTATTATACCTCTCCACGGGATGATGCCCTAACCTGAACCTAGAGAACTGCTTTCCATTCAGAAGAGATGCATTAAAACCAGCAAAGCACGTATCTCAGGGACACTGTGGTACATTGCTGTGAGACCATGTCCCTCAGAGATCCTTCTCTTATGACTGGGCATGGAAAGGAAGCCAGATCACAGTGAAGCAGAGGCCACCCTTTGACTGCTCCCAGCCTGCAAGCAGGTACTCTGTACTCTACTTTCAACTGGCATTTTGAAGACAACCTTTAGTTTCTATTCAGATTTGCAGACAGAGCTGTTTCTGCTCACGTTTTAAGAACATGTCCCAAAGGAATCTGTTACATTTACTCTAATATTTGAAATGCAAATCTAAACCAGATTCTATTTCAAATGCTTTATCAGCATGATGGTACTGAAGATGCTATATAAATAACAAACAAGGTGTTTGAAAAATACCTGGCCCGCTGTCCTTCAGAGTCACGAGTGGTGTAAAATGCATATTGTCGTAGCCAAGCACAATTGGGTATCTGTAGCATTCTTCAGCTGGCCAAAGGAGAGGCAAGTAAATGCCACCAACGTTCAGAGGAGCAAAACTGGAGCCTGACTCCAAACTTCTCACTACTTTATCTGCATAAGGAAGGAAAAAAAACAACACAAACACAAATAAGTATGTGCTACAGGCAGGAGAGAATGTATTCTGGGTGTTTTAGAACAATTGCTGAAAACTCGTAGTTCTGAAGCACTGAAAACAGCAATGAGCAAAGTTAACACAGCACAGAGTAGTGAGCTAACTGGGCAACTCACCTGCAAGAACAATGACTGGCCTTCTGAGGATGTTAGCAAGGATAAAGATGTGGATTTCTTCCAGTGCATTATATGGAAGCCTGTTTCGAGCCCCAGATGTTTCTGGGGAGGTCATTTCAATGAGGTATTCCCACTCCTCCTCCCAGTTCTGAGGAAAGAAACATCCATCAGCAATGGTTCAAAGACATGGAGGTCAGGAACCAACTGCAGCACAGCAGTGCTCAAAACAATCACATTTTCCCATTTCCTCCAAAGGAAGACTGTTTCTGCTCTCCACTAATGTTGGAATCCGTGAAGTCAAAAAGCAAACAAAATCAGCAAAGCAACACTGACGAGCACTCAGAAAACAGCCCCATTCCCTCAGGTTGCCTTACCCGGGTGTCATAGTGCAGTCCTGTTTCTACAAACTCCTGGGATTTAATAGCCTCCCGCTGCCAGCGCAGCTTGAAGTTCCGTGTGTCAACCTCCCTGAGTGCGCTAAACAAAGTTTTTCTTAGGACAAGGTCAATATCTTCAATACCCCACATGTACTGCGATGCAGCGTGCATGAGGCAATTTCCATCACCTGCAAAAAAACCCAAAGAATACATTATATTTAAATGGCTACTTAAATAAAACCCCACAAGCATGTGGGATATAGAATTACGCTGTGCATATGCATATTCCCTGTGCGCTTCTCTCTAAGCCCTGGACACAAGGATTTTAACAAGACTATGGCTATGAACTCTCTGCTCAGAGACAGAAAGGAAAAAAGGCCCTTTTCTACTGGTTTCCTCCCTTCACCAGTTGGTGTTAAGCTGTCATTCAGCAATGGTGGAAAGCCTGCCCCTTATCTATCTTAATTAACTTTGACTCGTGTAATAAACTAAATTTTGGGGTCAATTGTAAACGTCAAAACAGTTGAAGTAGCTTTTAAACACAACAGTGTCAATTTAAAATTACAAAAGAATGTGTAAATCTCCCTCATCACATACATATACAAGTACACCTGATGGCACAGGGTAGAGGTAATGGAAACCACTAAGAATACACTAGATACCAAGCCTCACCATCCCCTGATGAACACTGCATTGGAAGGCTTGGCACTTGGCTGTGCTTGACGGAGGAACTGTAACAAAAGAATGAGATGGGAAGGGAAGAGTAGGTGATTTACGCAAAGCAACTGTAGGAACACCTCTTGCCTTCCTCTCAGTATTGACAGTATGCTGGGCTGTTAAATATTTTATTTAGAGGGTTGTTTTTCTAAAACACAAAATTAAAACTAAATAAATGAAAAAATAATTATTTGATTGTCATTTAGACACACTCCTTGCCTTGAGAAAGTCCTCTTTACTCTACAGGTAGGAGTGACAGAGATATTCTGCAATTTCAGAGGGGAAGAAACTGAGAATCAGAAGAGTTAACTAACTTAATTAAAAGGCGTGACAAACTATGCCTATGACTGGATTTCAGATTTTATCTCTAGCTACCTCCTTCAAAAGGGGATGTCTGCTCTGAAAGGGAGACATCAAGAATCATTACTCTCATATCCTCAGATTCAAAATTGTGTCCGGAGTTTAATACAGTGGTAAACAGATTCACCCATTGCTAAGAAACCACAGCAGTTTCCTTGGAATAGAGGATGTCAGCCATGGTATAGCTACTAGATTTTTCTCATGTGGAAAAAAAAAAAACACTCAAAGAACTCCCACAAAAGTCTTAAATCCAGTTTGCTGCATGCATTACGAGCTCAAGCACACCATTTGTGAACACTTCTGCTATTTTTTCTGTGAAACTGTAGAGAAAAACCTACAACAGATGCCAGATCCTGAAAAAGATGTAATTTGAAATCTGCTTAACAGTTCATAAATTGCTATGGATTCAGTGCATATCAGGTTCCTGCAACTGCCCTCTGGTCTCTAAGTGCTGTCCTGCAAAGCTTACTTCAAGCCTGCAGGCTGCTTATATGAGCTCAAAGTCAAGGAACAACACACAGGACAGAAAAACTGACTGGGTTTCCTTCTGACCAAGAAAGATGACATATTAATCCTGTTAAAATTTTCCCTTTGCAAAATCTAGAGCAAAGATAAGATTTTTTTTCTCTCTCTGTTTGTGAGAGCTCACTTTCAGTTCTTTATTGAGAAGCGCTGCCCAAAATTCCTTACGCAGCACTTGGAATTCCCCCGCGCCGTTTGAGCAGCAGTTGAGTAACAGTTGGACTTTTTGTTCTGTGGCGCAGGGCTGAGCAGCGAAGCCTCCCTCGGACTTTCCCGGGGGTGTGGCTGGGCGAGCTGGAATGAATGCCAATTCATTATACAAGTGAAATCTCGACAGCCAATAGGTGATGGAATTTTCAAATGTTTTTAAAGAAGAGAAAAAAAACAACCAAAACAGTTTCGATTTTTATACGTCCTACTGCTTTCCTTCTATCCTCCATTCGCATGCCTGTGAAGAAATATGTGGTGATTCAAAAGGGCTTTTTTTAAATTAAAAAAACCCACACTGCTGCACAAAGTCATGTACATATTAGGTAAAATACAGATCAAAAGATCCTATGGAAAATACTTTCTCGGTGTTCAACAATTACAACCTTCATCAGAAAAAAAAAACCCAGAATTTTCTGAAGAAAGTCTACCATTGGCTGAAAGAACTAATATATTCCTCCTCCATCCATGCGTTAAGCACCTAAATGCTTTAAAAAATATTCTTTGTGCCACGTGGCATACAAAAAACCCATGTTATTTTCTGGGATAATACAGGGCTTCTCCAGGCTTCAGTTTCGTCCTTCAGGGGTCCTCTCCTTCAGTCCACTCTTCCTTCTCTCTCCTGCAAAGGTCCAAAGCTGCAGTTGCTTTGCACAAACCGCAGGTCCCCAAAGCCACTCCTACCCATGCCCTTATTGCCCTTAAAACACTGAACTGAAGCCAAGTTCATTGGCTGTGCGGGGTACGGGGTGGACCACAAACTGAGCCTTTGCTTTTCCTTCCCTCTACTTGCCCTAATATTTCAGCATCACTGGCACACTTGTTCACGGATAGGATCAACATTCCCAGCCCACAAATTGTCCCCATTTGTAACACTGACAGTGCAAGAAGTCATAGTTCTTGAAGATGGTGCTGTCAGCAACAAGGGCTTGTCCAAGCAGTGTTAATCCCCACAGGACTCCTATTGACAGGAGATGGAGGATTCCAAAATATTCCTCTTTGCCCTGGGCAAAAGTTACGCATGCTGTCCATTGTCCTAGTAAACCTGTTAGGGTGTACCTCTTGGGGTTAAGTTTTGAAGATGCAACACTCAGAGTGATGTTACTTTCCTAGTACCTGTAAAGTGCCGTCTGCCCTAGCTGCAACTCCAGTGCTTCTGGAAGTTCCAGATGACTTGAACAGCCTAATTTGATTCATGAGAATTTTAAGCACGTGCAGAAGGTCAGTGCCTCTATGACAATTACAGACACACAAATTAGGTTCAGGCTCTTCTAGGTCATGGCAGTGACATCTACATGGTGGTTCTGTTTTTATGGCTTTTGCACAACACAGTTGTGTGCAATCAGACTGAAGAAGTATGGTAGAACTTGGGAAGGGAAGAATGTGGACTAGGAAGATAAGGACAATGTGTACATAAACAGATACGAAAAGAAACACCCAAAGAACATAATGTAAGGACTTCAACACACTGCAGGTCCACCACACCTAGTCTTTCTATAACCAGTGTCATCTGCTCCTTGAGCAAAGAATATGTATTTTCCATGTTCTTGGAGTCCTCACTGTCCCAGCCTACCTTCCCAGTTTGGGGCAATCTGAGCTGTAGGGAATCCTGAGTCCAAGTTTGTAGCTGTGTGACCATAAGTCACAGCTATTACTAAATCTTTCCTCCCCTGAATGTGAAATGTCCAGTGGCTCTAACAGTCACATGAAAAAGTTTCCTGCTTTATACTGTGGACTCACGTACCCCTATTCAGGACATCTTTGTGCTACTGCTGTACCTTTTAATTTATAGCACTTGACGCAATACACACAAAGCAATCCTAAAGACAAGTCCTAAAACCAGCACTGACCCTCAGAAGAAAAGTGGGCTGCAAACATTGTGCTGAACAAAGATGGCTGTCATTCACACACATGGGACTTACTGGAGAGCCCTGAGGGAGAGCAAGACCTGGCAATCCCCAGCAGGTAGCTGAGGATCCGGATGGGGTGCTGACCCCAGAGCCAGCGAGGTCAGGTTCCCAGAGGCTCCACGTCCAGTACACTCCTGCCAGCACTGCTGTTAAAGCTGAATTAGCAAGTGACCTTTGCCTGCCAGCTACAACGGCGGGGATTATAGCAGGGTATTAACTTCTGCTATATATACACGGGAATGTATCCCCATCACTCAGGAAGTCTCCTCTTGCCTGGCATTATGGGCTGTTCAGCACATCCAACAAGGCAGCCGACACATAGCAGAGTTGGATTCACAGAAAGGCGATGGGTTGCAAGTCAAGGTTCCTGCCTGGTATTTTACTATGACGTGCCACAGGTTACTGATATTATCAAAATATCTGTGAAATTTTCAGGCTATTCATAATACTGTGATATGGGCAGGGGACTGCTACAGCCTTGGGACAGTACATCATGTGGAAAGAATTTTAGTTTACAAAACAAAGATTAAAAGGTACCACTTTTTTAAAGCTGTGCACTTCTGTTTCAGTAACATGAACTCAGATGCTATTAATAAAGGCACTACATTCATATTACCTATTTTAATGTGAGTGCAAAGACCTGCTCATAACTTACCATTAGTCTTCAAAGGGACCAGTCTCCGAACTTCCATGCACCAGTTGAGCTTCCTGTGGCGCTCCAGTGAAGCCTGGGTGGCCTGGTCAGTCAGGGCCTTCTGAAGTGTTTCCCGAAACTGAGGGCAAAACTGGCACATTCTGAACATTTCTATGGTGTATCTGTGCATAGTCCTGAAGTGGTGAATTATTCCACTGGGGGGCTTGACCAGATCTTCAGGTGTCCTCTCTCTGATCTTCATGGCTTTCAGCATATTGCTCTGATACAAAGCTTGAGGAAGGATGTGTTGGCCAGCCATGTTTCTAGAAGACATCTGAAATGAAAAAGGATCATTTTATTGGCATGTTAGCATCCTTGCATCACAATGCTATCACTTCTGCAGAGACTGAGAAGGCAGGGGCGGGATTCTGGTTGCAGCTTTGCCTAAAATGAGAGCAGAGTGGATGCAGTCCACTGAGCTCCATATAGATGATGGTTTCTGAAGCTCACATCCATTAGCCTCTCTACATTACTCAGATATAGACACTGACTAGCTTATTCCAATAATTTACTGCTATCATTTACTGAGATATTAAAGATAAATTATTCATAACTAAGGAAACTGCATCATCTGTTAAAAAACAAACAAACAAACCAACCAACCAACCTGAAAAACCCTATGTAAATCACAGTAAGGATAAAAGAAGGGCAAGGAAAATTATCCTGGAAATTTGACTAATTGATAATTGCACAGTGTAATCCCATATGAAC